CCCCCCCCCCCCCAAACCCCTTGTCCTGAGTAGCTTATGTTTTGGGTATGACATTTGTGTGTATAGGTTATGTAAAACGAGTGTTATACGGAGTACAATACAACGTGATATGCTTAAAGCATTTCACAAAATTGTATGGGATCATGTAGTCCATGCCTGGAAAAAGTAGCTACTCTCACCGTTCATTTTTTATCTTCCCCCTTTGACATTACACGCAATTTAAAGAAAAGTAAAAAAAATTAGACTTTCCATACTTGCACTTGGGTAATTGAAAAAAAGTGTAAGGGTAGGTAGTAATTAATATGTACAGGTGAGGGTAGAAATGAACTTTAAAGAAAATGCATTTGCTAAAAAAAGAAATGGGAAGAAAATACATGGACGAACAGTTAAGAACAGTGGAAAGAAAATTCATGAACCAAATTTATTACATGATGCAAATAATAATAATAATAATAATAATAATAAAGTACTCCGTATAACATTTGGTATTTCACTTATTGATGAAAAATTTAACCTTTTATGCTTCGTTGCAATCATAGACAAATCTCTCTTTCCTGTAATCAGATGCCAAACCTTTAACTCTCGTGCAATTGAAGCTAATTATGATCAAGACGGGGATATTTGCGGAAGTAGGCCTAGTAACATCTTTTTTATTCTAATGAATATATTTATAAAAAGCAGTACAAGTTGATATTTCGGAAACTCCATTAATGTGTTTTAGTCATTTGCTGAGTTTATATTCTGTATTCTTCTTTCAAAAAAAATGTACTCCGTGTTTTTTAGAATTTCTTACTGTTGTAGTCCATAATTTGTAGCTTGCCTGTGGAAAAGCGCACTAGATTTGTAATTAGACATCCGTTTGGAGCTAAGTTTAGTATCTGTGGCAATTACTATAATAAGCATAATGCTTCATCATGATATAACTACAGATTCATTGCATATTTATATGAAATGTCCCTAAACCCCGATATTAATCGTGTAATTTGAAGAATGTCACATGTACATCTCAGATATCACTATGTCCACAATGTGTCAATTCTGTACTGCATCATGTAATACATTGTGTGTGTGTGTGTGTGTATGTATAGTACTTTTTGGGAATTTTGATATATTATTCGAATCTAATGTGAGTATTAAAATATTGTATTGCAGGATGTAGCTTTAAAGATAATGGAATTTTCTCAGCAAGGAC